GATTGGGGCACAGGTGGGATTGGGGCACAGGTGGGATTGGCACAGTTGAGATTGGGGCCACAGGTGAGACTGGCACAGGTGAGATTGGGGCACAGGTGAGATTGGCACAGTTGAGATTGGGGCAGGTGAGATTGGCACAGGTGAGATTGGGGCCACAGGTGAGCACAGGTGAGGTTCAGGTGGGCACATGTGAGGGTTGGCATGGGCACAGGTGGGCACAGGTGGGGTCGGGGGGCACAGGTGGGCTCAGCTGAGGGGTTTGACTCAGTTTGGGCTCAGTTTTTGCTCAGTTTTCAGGTGATATCGGGTGCCCAGGTGTGCCCAGCTGTGCCCAGGTGTGCCCAGGTGTGCCCAGGTGTGCCCGCTCACCTGGGTGATCCTGCGGTAGGTATCGATGGCCGAGGGCCTCTCAAAGGGGTGTGGGTCAGTTTGGGCTCAGTTTTTGCTCAGTTTTCAGGTGATATCGGTGCCCAGGTGTGCCCAGGTGTGCCCAGGTGTGCCCAGGTGTGCCCGCTCACCTGGGTGATCCTGTGGTGGGTGTCAGTGGCCGAGTGGCTCTCACAGGATGGGTTTGGGTCATTTTGGGGCAGTTTGGGCTCAGTTTTTGCTCAGTTTTTGCTCAGTTTTCAGGTGATATCGGTGCCCAGCTGTGCCCAGGTGTGCCCAGGTGTGCCCGCTCACCTGGGTGATCCTGCGGTAGGTGTCGGCGGCCGAGGGGCTCTCGAAGGGGGGGTGCCCGGCCAGCAGCTCGTAGCAGAGCACGCCCAGGCACCACAGGTCGACCTTCTCGTCGTGCCCGCCGCCCTCCACCATCTCGGGGGGCAGGTAATCCAGCGTGCCACACAGCGTGCGGCGCCTGAGGGGTTAAACAGCACCTGGGCACACCTGGTGTGTTCAGGTGTGCCCAGGTGTGCCCCAGCTGTGCCCAGGTGTCTCACCTGAGCGAGGGCGCGTGCACGGACCAGCCGAAGTCGGCGATCTTGAGCCATTTCCCAGCCCCATGCCCCCCCCAGGTGCCCCCAGCTGTACCCAGGTGTGTGCCAGGTGTACCCAGGTGTGCCAGGTGTGCCAGCTATGCCCAGCTGTGCCCAGGTGTGCTCACCTGAGCGAGGGCGCGTGCACGGACCAGCCGAAATCCCCAAATTTGAGCCATTTCCCAGCCCCATAACCCCTCCCAGGTGTGCCAGCTGTACCCAGGTGTGTGCCCAGGTGTGTGCCCAGGTGTGCCCAGGTGTGCCCAGGTGTGCCAGGTGTCTCACCTGAGCGAGGGCGCGTGCACGGACCAGCCGAAGTCGGCGATCTTGAGCTCCCCCTTGAGGCCGAGCAGGAGATTCTCGGGTTTGATGTCGCGGTGGATCACCTTGCGCCCGTGGCAGTAGAGCAGCGCGTCCGCCAGCTCCTCCATCAGCTGCGGAGTTTGGGGGGTCAGGGCACCCCAAAATCCTCCCGGGGACCCCAAAAATGGACTCAGGGCACCCCAAAACCCCCCGGGCCCCCCCAGGTGTGCCCAGGTACCCCCAAATCCCCCCCAGGTACCCCCAAATCCCCCCCAGGTGCTCAGGGGGAAGCGGCTCCTCCATGAGGGAAAAGTGCTAAAAAAGGGGGTCCAAGGCACCCCAAAATCCTCCAGAGTGACCCCAAAATCCACCCTGGGCACCCCAAAATCCTCTTGGGGACCCCAAAAATGGACTCGGGGCACCCCAAAACCCCCCGGGCTCACCCAGGTGTGCCCAGGTACCCCCAAATCCCCCCCAGGTACCCCCAAATCCCCCCCAGGTGCTCAGGGGGAAGCGGCTCCTCCATGAGGGAAAAGCGCTAAAAAAGGGGGTCCAAGGCACCCCAAAATCCTCCTGAGTGACCCCAAAATCCACCCGGGGCACCCCAAAATCCACCCAGGATACCCCAAAATTATCCGGGGCACCCCAAAATCCACCCAGGCACCCCAAAATTATCCGGGGCACCCCAAAAATCCACCCAGGGTACCCCAAAATCCACCCAGGCACCCCAAAAATCCACCCTGGGCACCCCAAATCCACCCTGGGCACCCCAAAATCTTCAAGGGGGACCCCAAAAATCCACCTGGGCCACCCCAAAATTATCTGGGGCATCCCAAAATCCAGCCTGGGCACCCCAAAAATCCACCCGGGGCACCCCAAAATCCACCCTGGGCACCCCAAAATTCACCCTGAGCACCCCAAAATCCACCCAGGGCACCCCAAAATCCTCCAGGGACCCCAAAAATCCACCTGGGCCACCCCAAAATCCACCCGGGGTACCCCAAAATCTTCAAGGGGGACCCCAAAATCCTCCTGGGTACCCGAAAAATCTACTCGGGGCACCCCAAAAATAATCCGGGGCGCCCCAAAATCCACCCGGGGCACCCCAAAATCCTCCAGGGTACCCAAAATCCACCCTGGGCACCCCAAAATCCACTCAGGGCACCCTAAAATCCAGCCTGGGCACCCCAAAATTATCCGGGGCACCCCAAAATCCACCCTGGGCACCCCAAAATCCACCCAGGGCACCCCAAAATCCACCCAGGGACCCCAAAACCCGACTCGGGACAGCCAAAAACCACCTGAGCCGGGTTTTGGGGTGGTTTTGGGGTTTTTGGGGTCCTTGGGTTGATTTTTGGGGTGGTTTCGGGGTTTTTGGGGTCCCCGGGTCGGTTTTTGGAGTTTTTGGGGTCCCCGGGTGGGTTTTTGGGGTGGTTTTGGGGGTTTTGGGGTGCCTGAGTTGATTTTTGGGCAGTTTTGGGGTTTTTTGGGGTGTCTGTGGTGCTTGGGGGTGTTTGGGGGCCCTGATGCGATTTTTGGGGTGGCTTTGAGGTTTTTGGGTCGGTTTTTGGGGTGCCCGGGTCAATTTTTGGGGTGGTTTTTGGGGTTTTTGGGGTCCCTGGGTCGGTTTTTGGGGTTTCTGGGCATGCCCGGGTGGGTTTTTGGGGTGATTTTGGGGGTCCCTCGGTCAGGTTTTGGGTTCCCTAGATCATTTTTTGGGGTTTTGGGGGCCCTGGGTCGTTTTTTGGGATTTTTGGGGTCCCTTGGTCAGTTTTGGGGGTTTTTGGGTCCCTGGGCCGGTTTCTGGGGTGGTTTTTGGGTCCCTGGGTTGGTTTTTGGGGTCCCCGGGTCAGTTTTTGGGGTGTTTTTTGGGGTTTTTGGGGTCCCTGGGTTGGTTTTGGGGGTGCCCGAGTCAGTTTTTGGGGTGGCTTTTGGGGTTTTTGGGGTCCCTGGGTTGGTTTTGGGGGTGCCCGAGTCAGTTTTTGGGGTGGCTTTTGGGGTTTTTGGGGTGGTTTTTGGGGTTTTTGGGGTGGTTTTTGGGGTTTTTGGGGTGGTTTTTGGGGTTTTTGGGGTGGTTTTTGGGGTTTTTGGGGTGGTTTTTGGGGTTTTTGGGGGGGGTTTTGGGGGTTTTTGGGGTGGTTTTGGGGTTTTTGGGGTGGTTTTGGGGGTCCCTGAATCAGTTTTTGGGGTGGTTTTTGGGGTTTTGGGGTGGTTTTGGGGTTTTTGGGGTGGTTTTTGGGGTTTTGGGGTGGTTTTTGGGGTTTTTGGGGTGGTTTTGGGGTGGTTTTTGGGGGTTTTTGGGGTGGTTTTTGGGGTTTTTGGGGTCCCCGAGTCAGTTTTTGGGGTGATTTTGGGGTTTTTGGCACACCGTGGCCGTGCGGGTGGCGTCCAGGCGCCGGCAGCGCTGCAGCTCCTTGTAGAGCAGCCCTGGGGTTTCGGGGTGATTTTGGGGGTTTTGGGGGGTTTTTGGGTCGGTTTTTGGGGTTTTTGGGGTGATTTTTGGGGTTTTTGGGGTCCCCGAGTCGGTTTTTGGGGTGATTTTGGGGTTTTTGGCACACCGTGGCCGTGCGGGTGGCGTCCAGGCGCCGGCAGCGCTGCAGCTCCTTGTAGAGCGGCCCTGGGGTTTTGGGGTGATTTTGGGGGTTTTGGGGTGGTTTTGGGGGTTTTTGGAGTTTTTGGGGTCCCCGAGTCGTTTTTTGGGGTGATTTTGGGGGTTTTGGGCACACCGTGGCCGTGCGGGTGGCGTCCAGGCGCCGGCAGCGCTGCAGCTCCTTGTAGAGTGGCCCTGGGGTTTCGGGGTGGGTTTTGGGGTTTTTGGGGTTTTTGGGGGTTTTTGGGTCGGTTTTTGGGGTTTTTGGGGTCCCCGGGTCAGTTTTTGGGGTGATTTTGGGGGTTTTTACACCGTGGCCGTGCGGGTGGCGTCCAGGCGCCGGCAGCGCTGCAGCTCCTTGTAGAG